ACAGATTCTATCAGAGACGGATGCACCTGTGCTGCTACGCTGTACATTTCGAGCGGCGTTTGACTTCATTACTGCGCCACTGGTGTCGTTCGTTGATGGCTTCGAGCCTCGACTAACAGAATTATACATACAACAAGCATTGCTACTGTTGGTCGTTTGAGACTACGCGTTGGATGTGTACCGTTGAAACCGAGTCACCATCGGCTGTCAGACGTTCAAATTTCGAGCCAGGTTTGTAATTCAGAATTCTAGCTCTTCATACGTTGTCGCGTTTCCGACGTGCCTTAACAGGTGATATTTTGTAAGCTTTGTTTTAGTGAAGTTACTAGATCTATTGTTTTATTTGGTTTTATCTGATTGCAAATAAATTTAAATAAACATGTCAAATTTGTTTTCTTGAGCAACGGTCGTCGCTATCAGCACAAAATTGCCTTCTCTCAATTTAAAACAGAAACTGTTCAAAACACAAAAGATATTATGGGATATCGACTCGCAAGGCAAACACGTTTGCATGCACAATGTGCCCGAAGGCTGAAAATAAATAGCGGTACTGTGAAAAGTACAGCACCGTTGTAGCTCTAAACTGAATCAGAGTTTTCGTATGTCAGTCTCCCTTAACTTTCGTGACTGGGGGCCATTTGTGGTGCTCTTCGTTTTACCGAGCTTATGGTATGGCGTAATGAGACGTTTTAGCGCAGTCGGGTAGTCGGTGTCTGGTCTAATGGGTACTATTTAGGCCAGTCTTCTTTCGAACACAAATTCACAAAAGTTTCATTCTGGCTTTTATCTTAAGGTGTTCCATCAGCCATCAAACAGAGGAGACATGCTTGAGAAAATGTACGGCTGGTATCGTACTCGAATTTTTCTCTCCACCATCCGTTGTGCATTGCGATTTTCTTAATCTAACATTGTTTACATTTGCCATACGTGCTTTTCGCAAACTTGGCATTCAGTGATGTGAAAAACGTAAGCGAATGAAACTAAACTAAAAGCACCTTGCGATGAGTCTAATTTACTTCACAAGAAAAACACCGGCAGCGACGGTCGATTAGAAAATGCTTGCAGCCACTTCAAGCAAATGAATTCGAATTTGTTTACATTAGCAAAGCAATTAACAATAATGGTAGCAAAAAGGGCGGAGCGATTGTCTACAGGTTGTACAACGAGGCACAACGACACCCTCATTTATTTTTGTCGTTCGCGTTGTACAAGCTGTACAGCTGGTCTTCCATGCGGACTATCAGCGCCGCGTCATCGAGGTGGCGTCGCAGTTCGTTGCCTCTGTACAGGCGCGTCGGTATGTTCATGTACTTGTCGCGGCACCGGCGCCAGTCCCACGGTGGTATTGGGTTCGAGCGGTTCAGCCACACGTCGAACTTGCTCAGTGTGTAAGGCACGATGACGGCCGTTCCGGCGAAGAATGCACCCATCGCGAAGAACAGCGGCCACAGCTCGTAGTGACCAACCGAATTTCGAAAAAACCTACAAGTAACCGATGGTGAAACAATCAAACCACATCCATCTTACGCTAAACCGCTTAAACGATATGACCCCTGAAAGGAAGTTCCGTGACCCGAAAATCGCATGCGCCCCTAAACCCTCATGGACTTTTACTTACTTTTATTAAACAGCTGGAATTCGGTTGATTTTGGGCTTACCGTAGCATTGTTGTTCCAACGCCTTTTGCTGTTTCATTTGTTTCATTTTAAATATTTAACTGAAAAGCGATATCCAAGTTGTTTACGCTTAAAAAAGAAAATTTTTGTCCACTGCTAACCAGAAAGAAAATTTTACACCAACAATTCAAAAGTTTTCTACCCCTCTCACACACAAACAAGTATGGCTGAACTCAACTTCAATCTGGTTTGCCATCGACCGTACGATAATTCAATCAAAACGTATAAAATTCATATACCAGCTTGTTTAATTAAGCACTACGAAAACGGCACGGTCAAACTCCTCGAACTGTTGGGTTTCATGCTATTTACTATTTACTTATTTTAAATTTACTTATTTACACAATTTATCTATTTATCCACAACCTGGGTAAAAGTAGTGCGGTCGCAATAAATCGGCTTCGAACTCCAGACTCGCAGAGTCAGGCTCAAATTCGGAAAAAATTCTCATAACTGCTAATTCGCTTGAACAAGATATTCGCTCGATTTTACTTCGGTGGAATCCGCCGGGAGAAGGCTAGCAAGCCACTGACTTGCGCACTACAGGTACGGCACGTTCCTGCATAGTGGTTCCAAAACGGATGAAGGATACGGTCATGTTCTCTGGCGAGAGCGAATCTGAGGGCTGTAATTTGCTTCCACTCACTAACAGCTCACTCTCCATGTCATAATTAGCATAAGGTGTGAAACCTGTGGTGCCAGGAGATAGGTAACGTTCGCTGCCGTTTAAGAAATGAAGGTAAGAAAATAACCTCATTCATTAGCTGGCAGAACAGTTCTCTGACAGGTAACAGTCAGTCGT